TAGCCGCTGAAATGAGAAGGTACAGAATAGAAGTGTTGGGAATCTGCGAAAGCAGATGGAACGGAACTGGAAGGTGCCAACTACCTACTGGAGAGACAGTAATCTTTCCGGCCACCCAGAGGACAACCACGAGCACACCGAGGGAGTGGCCATCATGATGTCACCAACAGCAGCCAAAGCTCTCATGCAGTGGGAACCAATCTCCTCCAGGATAATGACAGCCAGGTTCAACTCAAAAGGAAGGAAAGTTACAGTCATTCAATGCTATGCGCCTACAAACGTCTCAGAACAAGAGAAGAAGGAGGCGTTCTACAGACAACTACAAGCAATAATGGACAACGTCCCAAATGGCGATATCAAAATCCTGATGGGCGACATGAATGCGAAGCTGGGAGGAGACAACACAGGAAGAGAACTCACCATGGGTCGTGAGGCCCTCGGTGAAATGAACGACAATGGTGAACTCTTCTCAGACTTCTGCGCCTTCAATGATTTGGTGATTGGTGGTAGTGTGTTCAAACACAAGGATATACACAAGACGACATGGATTTCACCAGATGGAAACACCAAGAACCAAATAGACTTCATCTCAATTTCAAGAAAGTGGAGACGGAGCCTACTGGACACAAGGTCAAGGAGAGGAGCAGATGTGGGTTCAGACCACTATCTAGTACAAGGGACTTTCAAGGTGAAACTAAAAGCCTCGAGGATAGCTGGGGATAGGCCACAATGCAAGTTCAACACTCAATTACTGAAGGACACAACCACAAAAGACACTTTCACTGCAACTGTCAGAGCAAAGCAGGAAACACTACGCGACATCACTGAAGAATCATGCGTGGAAGAACATTGGAAGTCTCTGAAGGCGATTCTCAACGAAACGTGTTCAACGGTTCTAGGAAGAAAGAAGAGACAAGACAAGGAATGGCTCTCAACGGACACTTGGAAATTAATAGAAGAGAGGAGAATGGTGAAAGAGAAAATGATTCAATGCAAGGACGGACAGGAGAAGGAGACGCTGAGCTCAACTTACAAAGCACTGGACAAAGAAGTGAAGAAGAGTGCTAGGAAGGACAAAAGACGATTCTACGACAACCTGGCCACTGAAGCTGAGAAGGCAGCAGGCAAAAGGGACCTGAGGACACTATATCAGATAACCAAATCTCTATCCGGGAAGAGATCAACACAAGCGAAACCTATAAAAGACAGCCAAGGGAACCCAATTACCAAGGAAGAAAAACAGATTAAACAATGGGCGGATCACTTCAAAGGACTCTTGAACCGACCATCACCTGCAACCCGTCCAGAAATACCAACAACAGCACGACACAACTGCAAGTTGACACCAATCCTCCAACGAGAGCTGAAGTCTTGAACGCAATCAAGCTTCTGAAAGCTGGAAAAGCAGCTGGACCAGATGGAATACCCCCTGAAGCACTGAAAGCGGACCCAGAGACGACAGCAGACATGCTGACTCCATTATTGCAAAAGGTCTGGAAGGAGGGAAAGGTGCCTACTGACTGGAGGAAAGGTTACCTCGTGAAACTACCAAAGAAGGGCGACTTACGCCTCACTCTGCAAGAACTGGCGAGGAATCATGCTCCTGTCGACGCCAAGTAAAATCCTGAGTCGCATCATCCTGGAGAGATTAAAGGACGCACTGGAGACAGAACTCCGACCAGAACAAGCTGGATTCAGGAAAGTCAGGCAAATCATGTACTGACCAAATTGCAACTCTACGCATCATCATCACAGAACAAAGCATGGAATGGCAATCAAACCTCTACCTCAACTTTATAGACTTTGAGAAGGCCTTCGACAGAGCGTTGACCGCGAAGTAATTTGGAAACTACCCGAGTACTGTGGTGTACCCCAAACATTCATCACGCTTATTCAACAGTTGTACGACAACGGCACATGTCAAGTGATCCACAACGGAAATTCAGCGATATAAGAATAAAACTTGTGCACTGTGGTAGAGTGTAATTCCATTATGGGTAAATTTTGTTTTGATAAAAGCTCCCAGTGTTATACAGTAATGTTATGTTACAGCGAGGCGTTTGGAGTAAACACAGGAGTCAGGCAAAGGTGCTTATTATCCATCACCAATGATATTCCTAATTGTGGTGGACTGACTGCATTATGCGTCAGACAGTGGGAAACGAGCAGACAGCGATATACTGGACCGACGTGAAGAATCTAGAAGACCTGGATTTCGCGCGTGGATGATATATGCTTGATGTCACACACACACACACAATCGAAGACTTACAAGCGAAAACCAAGCGACAAACTGGTCGAAGAAGCAGCTGGCGAAGACAGAACTCTAGGTGAGCACAGATAAGACAGAGGTTATGAAAACAACCAACAGACAAAAACAACAGCAACATCCAGCGCCAACTACCATAAACATCTACGAGAGAGATTTGGAAGAGGTTACTTCATTCACTTTTCTAGCTAGGGAGCATTGTCTCACCTACAGGAGGAGCGGACGAGGGTGTCAAATCGAGCGAGGATCGGGAAGGCGAGAGACACATTCATCAACCTGAAACCAATCTGGAGATCGTCGTCACTCAGCCAGCATCAACAACAAAATTCGGTAGGATTTTCAATGTAAAAGTCAAGTCAGTTCTTCTATACGGATGAGAAACTTGGCGAGTGGGTCACAAAGAATATCTACAACAGCCTGTTGCAGACTAGACCTTTATCAACAACTAACTGTCTTCGCTGGCTCTATACTGAAGATCACATCAGATGGCCGGGCCGGACTGGAAAGAATCACCAACAAGAAGCTATGGGAACAAACAGAACAAGAAGCAATCGCCAACCAACAAATATGCAGGAGAAAGTGGAGATGGATGGATTGGACACTCGCTCGCTGAGGAGACCGCTGGGTGACATCGCGCGCGTGTCAGGCCATTGCTCGAGTAGAACCAGGTTGAAGGGGAAGCGGTGTGTGGGTTGTCAGTGCAAGAGTAACATGGAGGAGATCGTGTGAAAAGAGAGGAGTTGAAACAATCTGGAGTAACATGGATGCAGGTGAAAAGCACAGCAGGAGACAGAAGCAAATGGAGACGTGCAGTTGAAGCGCTACGTTCCACTAGGAACCTAAGGGAGCAATAAATAATAAAAAATAATATGCATGACGCGGTCAGGTTTTTGATACCTGGCCGACAAACACCTAAACCTCACTTAGCCAGTACTAAACCCGGTAAATGAGGAAAGAATGAGCTTGACAGTAACAACTCAACACCTTAAAATGCACTACTGCTACTGAAACATCAAACCGCAGGCCTGAAAGCCTATGTTCCACTTGGAGAGTATTGGGATGAAGAAGTGGAGAAGATTGTAGAAAATGTGTTTTTACCTCAAGAATTCGAAAACTATCTGTCAGCATCAATTGAATCCATTTCATTATGAACTGTCTAAACATCCAGCTACCGATACCTTTTTGTTTGTTTACAATAGAGAAGAAAATAAAATAACTGATAACTAAAACTATGTACAGATATCCAATATAACCCATCTAATACTTTAATTTTATGTAATCCTACGTTGCACCAATCAATGCTGAGTGACTTACTGACTTGTCTCAACATTGAGCAGGAGTGCAGCATTTCGAGTTGCCACACTCCAGGTAGCACACTAGGGAACGTGAAGGACAAAAAAATCAGTAAACTTATGAATTTAAGCCAGGAAATAAAATATGCGGAAGACACACAGTCATATTACAGTTATTTTCCAGAAAAGCACACAGACAAGAATAAGTGATACCAATTTTAGTGGCTATCAAAAAACAATTGAGAAATGATTCAACACCTCTATATTTTTAACATAAAATTGCCATCAACGATGAGATTAGGATAACACTTGAGGATGTAATTTTATTAGATGGTAGGAGGTAATTGGAAGGAAGCCGACTACCTAAGTTTCATGCTTGTTGGTAGTTCCCAGTCTTTAAGGCGTATCTTCAGTCTCCGAGGTTCTCAGGTCCTTTCTGAGGTTCAAACCTGTGTTACGCAGTACTTCTGTTAGAGGCACAACCACTCAACTGTTTGGTCTGGCGATTGAACTCCGGTAGGACTGTACTGGACACTTTTGTTGGACAGCGATCAATGAGTAGCCAGTCATTGGTGTTAGTGAAGACTGAATTCCATCAGTCAAATTAGTCAGTGACAAATTTTATCGGATTAAAATCCACATAGATAAGTCTAAGAGAACAATTTTACCTGTCTATGGTGAGTTATCTATTGATTACGCAAACTGAAATAGCTGGTCAGGGTCAGTTGTGTAGTCAGAAAACAGACATTTAGCATAATTTAGAGAAGTACACCCCCAAAAAGATAGGTTATCAGAAGGATTTTAAGCTACTACTTTCAATGCACTGACAAACTAACATAGCTTAAAATGGCACGTAACCACAGATCAGCAGATCAGTAAAGGTGGAAAGCGGGGCTAACCCCTGAATCTTTATTCATCGAAGAGAAGGCGCATTTTACAATACAAGTAAAACAATGCAAGACTGGTCCCAGAGATTTGAAGTAAACAGTATAAAACTACTGAAATACATTAACGGAGTTGTTGCGATAATATGACTGTGAGCAATAAGCTGGGCCTAAAACATCATCCAGTAAGTAGTATGGTATCATTCCGTTTCTTATCAAATTAACACAACTGTAATACCGTTCTTTCATAAAGCGAAATTCTCTCGCCTCAATTTTAAGTCCAAAGCACTTAAATGTGTATAAATCATGGTTTAATAGCGCTATTTCTATCATTCTATCAGGTTATTCAGCTTCAGAAGATATTTCCAGTTACATCTCACATAATTTGGTTCGTTATTCTTCATAAAACTGGTGTTTAGTTGAGTAATTTAACTTGTTGCTTAATTTTGATGTTAATGATGAATGTGTTTTCTTATTTATTGTGATAATATTGTTTGCTTAAAAACCTGTTTTCAGTATATATTTTTTTCGCTATTTATTAACATTATTGTCTAGGAGAAAGATTCCAACTGAAAGGTCTTGAACTACGTTCTTTATTAACATCAACTCATGAGTTTATGACTTATGAAGGATCACTGCCGTTTCCTCCATGTCAAGAAACAGTAACCTGGATTATACTCAACCATCCAATAACCATTAGTGAAACTGAAGTGAGTTATTTTTTTTAAAACTTGAATTATTCCAGTTGTTTACAATAACACTGTGTGAAAATGAATAACATCAAATGGGATTCAAGCTATAATGAGGGTGGAATAATCGCTTGTTCATTCTTCGATGGATTCGGAAGCACAGAAACACTTACTGTCTTTCACTATTTGACATATTTTTGACAGGAAAATAACATTTTGATTCTGACGATCGAGAAGAGTTATGGTTACATCTGACTGTGAATGGCATGAAAAGTATCTCTTAATAAGTAAGATCATATCTTCACAAATATTAGCACTTCAGAAATGTCGTGTTGTACCTAGCCATTGATGAGCAACGGACTAATTTCTAAATGTTGCATTTATAGAAGTTTGATAAATCTCAAGGTCTGTTCACCTTGTAACTTGAAGGTCTTGAGTTTGACCTCTGGTGCGATCATAATTATATACTGCTGAAGAATCTAAAATTAGGATGAAACACCCATTCCATGTTTTCTAGTTTTCAATGGTTCTGTAAGTAGTGTCGGTTTGCAGTGAAATATATTTTGAAATCAGTCAGAACTTCTTAAATCTAACATTTAAATGTTCAGCTCCCTGAAGGCAGAAAAATTTATGCTGTAATTTAATGTATTATAAATAACGACCTGTTTTCCAAGGTTTATACACAGCATAAAGAAATAGACCTAGGCAGGTTCATAAAAGATTATTTCCACTGGTATTTTACAGTTATTTCATCCAACAATCAAAAAAGCTTGTCTTCATTCAAGTAGATTTTAGAGGTAAAAACATTGCAGAAATGGTCAACAGAAGACTGAGAATGTCACTAGCCAGAGCCTATCCTGCATCAAATTTGGTTCCCTTCCATCGAACAACATGCTCTTTGGTGCAGTCAAAAGTCGATAGATACCCTTCTCATGCTAACTCAAACTGTGTATACAAATTTACGTGTATCTGCAGGAGCAGTTACATCGGGAGAACAGAAAGATAGGCACACCTCCGATTTTCTGAACATGTGCCGAAAAGCCTACGTCTCAAGGGAATAAACTCTTATAGTAGCGCTATTACTAGACATCTCCTCGACACGGGTCATGAGGTAGATATCGAGACATCCTTGAAAATTATCGATAGGCAAATGAGTTCCATTCTTCTCAATTTTGCCGAACTAATTTCTATCAAACGCTTGAAACCAGATTTATGTGTTCAGAAAGAAGCAGTTATTAGTCTTGCCTTGCCATGGTAACTGGATGTCTTTGTTCTTTCATCTGATTCCGTAATCTTTGTCTTTAACCTCACCCCTTTTATAATCTGTAATTTTGCCTGTCTCTTGTTTCTATGACTTGAGTTCAACTCAGTACATTGTTACTTAATTTATTAGTCAATCTGTATCTAACGCATATTTCTTCTTCATTACATAACTCTTTTACCACTGTATGCATACATTTATTTTGTTTAAACTTGAACTGCCTGTATAAAAAAATATATAAGCGCAATTCTCTGAGCACTGTTCACTAATTGTGGAACCTTTTGTCAGCTGACGGCATGCAAAATTTGTAAGTATGCTGAAACTTTTATGTACGTAAACCTCATAATTTATTTAGGCTGCAAGCAGCTGATGAAGAAGCCAACGAAATAAATAATGGCACCATGTTATTCTGCACAAACCACTGTTGTTCTTGCTTTATTCAAAAAGAATTGTGAATATACCTTTGGCGATATTATTATCTAGAAACCCCTACGTTAAACAGCAGTGTCTATCAGTCATCATACTGGGATTATCAAATTGTCATAATGCACATTTTGGGAAATTACCTCACATGAACTACCAACAGTGAACATTGAGAAGGCGGAAGTGATGAAGATACCCAGCGACCAACAATAGCAACAAGCACCATTCACTACCAGCAGAAGAAATTTGAAAGACGTCACGCAGAATCGTTCCAACTATGGACTACATCAGGGATGGGGATGTGATAGCCAGAACTGGAAAGGCGAGACATACCTTCATCACTCTGAAATCAGTTTGAAAATCTTCTACACCCAGTATAAAGAACAAAATTAGGATTTTCAACATCAAAGCTAAGACAGTCAATCAATTCTTCTGTATGAGTCATAAAATTGGCGAACACTTCACGAACACCATTCCTAACAGCCAGCTGCAGACTTTTATCAAGAGCTGCCTTCTCAACCCTCCAAGTGACGATCAGATGGCCAGCAAGCCAGAATGAATTCTCAACAAGAAAATCTGAGAACTGGGACCAACAAAGAACCTGTTCCTCAACAAATGTACAGAAGAAAATGCATTCAGATGAGACATACGCTGAGGAGACCGTTGGATGATATTACAATCCAGGACATCACTCAAGTGGAAGTTGAGTGGGAAACAACGAACGAGTTTGGCTTGAGTGCCAGAGTGACATGGAGGATATCGCTTGAGGCGAAGGAGATGACAGCCTACGATCATTCGTGCAGCCAGCTAGAAAGGACCATAGAGAGCTAGACAAACTCTGGATGTGCTGTTGAAACCTTATGTTCCCCCTCAGAATCCAAGGGAATAATTATTAATTATTGCTGAAATTATCCAGTTATTTGTTTAAATTGTCAATCACACCCAATTCAAACAATTCCGAACAATTCAATTTACATACACTACCCTACACTACACTGCATACTTGAATAGACTAAATGAATTTCTTAAATAATTCCCATCACTACCAAACAGTCAAAATGTGAACCATAGATTATTATCAAGAAAAAAGAAGACGCTTGAACAAAATTGTTTTTAAAAATAGGTGGCTAGAAATCAAAAATACTCGTGCCTTTATATATGATTGTATTATACTTGAGAAAATGAAATGCCTTATAGAATTGCTTCTCAATGCTTTTCGCTGCCCTCTTACACCTTCACTCACTTATGTCAAAGAGCTTGTTTTTAAGTCAATTTCACTCTTATTTACCTTGAAAGTTATATAAGAGTATGAGAATATTTAGAGGAAACTACAAACCAGTGGATATTTCCCCGTATGTATACAAGCGCTCATACATATTATGAGGTTTGTGAATAAGACAACAGGATGAAAGTCTCCACTTATACATGTCAATTTAATTGCTATTATTTGAACGCATTTCCCTTTATTTGTTTTGATTCCCATTAGAAGAAATTATTTTGTATAGGCACTTTCTTACCTTTGAAAACTGTGTGTGTGAATGTATGATTAATCAGCCATTGTGAGCTAAATAGTACAAAGACCGCTATTTTAAGTCACCAAACACAACACTTTAATAGCAATGGAAATTTTGCTTTTCTGTGTACATGTTTGTATTAATAGGCAAAGAAAATGTGTACAATAATTAATTAGAATAATATTTCTTTACACTACTTATATTTCATCCATTTGTATCATTAGAGTTATTCTTGGCCAAAATGAATTTTCTCTATCCTACTCTACCGATCTACATAAATTTATCTCTGGTAGTGAAAAAGAGAGGAAAGCAAAAAAAAACACTTCCGAGACTAATTCAAAATCCTTGAAACACACTGTTCTCTAAGTAGATTTTAATTGTATGTTTCATTTCGGATACCTTTAGTCTAGTTTTATAAGCTAAGAGGGAAAATTATCTTGAAAGAAAGTTGACCTATATTCAGTATATTATTTTAGCGATTTCTTGGTTGATGAATACTGTTATATGTAGTCTCGAATTCGAATTTGATTTGGTTCGCCCGATGTCAAAAGAAATACGTATATATCCTATAGTTTTAGAAAGATTATATGAGCTGATTAAGAGAAACAAATTATCATACGAAAAGACTAGCTGTCTTTCACAGCAGATATCTGCGTTCTGTCCCTCTTGTTATGTGCTATAATATGGTGAGTAATATAGAGGTTAGGCTTAGATTATTTGGTAAGAAGAGAAAATCAACATATGAGATTGTGATATTGCATTGACTGAAGAAGCGAGGTTGTCAGTTGCTCATTCCAAATCACCTCCTTGACCGTCCAGAAATTTTAACTCATATAGCGTCAGGTTTAACCTCACCTAGTTGACTAGCTCGCTAGTTTTCTAGCTGATCTCAAGCCCAGGAAAATATGGAGGATTAGGCTAGGAGGCAGTAATTCTACCCCCTAAAGTCCATTAGATTGATACAGGAACTTCAACGCGCAACAAAATTACTAAAAATATAAAAGCAAATTTATTTGTTGCTGGAATCGAAGAGGTGAAATAACGCTGGCTGGTGAAAGCCTTCGGGAAGTCAGTCAGCCAGCCAATGTCTTCTTCCCATGACAGCAAGAATAAGAATGAGCACGTGGAATGTAGGTACAATATACAAGGCTGGTAAGGCTGCCTAGGTAGCCAAAGAAAAACGAAGATATGGTCTAGAATTGCTGGGTATCTGTGAGAGCAGATGGAATAGATGTGGACTGTCAAAACTGTCAACTGATGAGTCGGTAGTCTACTCCAGTGTGGTTGCCCTAACTACAACCACGATCACACTTAGGTAGTGAATCGCTATCATGATGTCACTAGTGGCGGCGGAAGCTCTAATGCAGTGGGAACTAATCCCTTCCTACACAATAATGATAATTAGATCCCACTCAAAAGAAGGAAGGTCACAATTATCAAATGCTGCAAACAGGGCGGAACAAGAGAAGAAGGAAGGTTTTTACAGACAAATACAAACAGTAATGGACAACATCCCAAATGGTGATATCAAAATCCTCATAGGTAATATGAATGCCCAATATATGAATGGGAGAAGATAATACAGGAAGAGAACTCATCTTGGGTCGAGAGGCTCTGGCTCGAAGAAATGAATGAGAACGTAGAATTATTCGCAGACTTCTGCGCTTTTAATGATTTGGTGATTGGCAGCAGAGTGTATAAGCACAAGGATATACACAAAGCAACATGGATTTTGCCTGACGGACACACTACGACCTAGATAGATTTGATATCAATCTCAAGGAAGTGAAGACGCAGCTAGCTTGTTAGATAAAGAGTTGAGAAGAGGAGCAGATTTGGGCTCAGACCATCATCTAGTTCAAGGAACCTTCAAGGTGAAGCTGAAATCCTTGAAAACAGCTGGAGACAGGCCACTGTAATTCAAGTTAAACATTCAAAAACTGAAAGACAAAGCTACAGGGGATACCTTCATTACAGATCAGATCAGAGCAAAGTCGGAGACACTACATGGCATCACTGAGGAAATCTGTGCGGAACGACACTGGAACTACCCCTCTGCAGGTGATGTCCAAGGAAACGTATACGGCCGTTCCAGGAAGAAAGAAGGGGCAAGACAAGGAATCGATCGCAACGGATGCCTGGAAGCTAATAGAAGAGAGAGAAAATGACTCAATGCAAAGATAGACAACAGAAGGAAAAGCTGAGTTCAATGTACACTGCACTGAATCAAGAAAGAAGTGAAGAAGAGTGCTAGAAGAGACAAGAGACAGTTCTAAGACACTTGCAACTGAGGCAGAACAGTCAGGGTGCAGGTCACAGAGACCTGAGAACATTGTTTCAGATAACCAGGTCTCAATCCGGGAAGAGATCAATGTAGATGAAACCTATAAAGAATGGTGAAGGGAACCTAATTACCGAGGAGGAGAAACAAACAAAACAGTAGGCTGATCACTTTAAGGAACTCTTGAATCGACCATCACTTGCAATTCGCCCAAAAATACCACCAGTAGCAAGCACAGAACTGCCTGTCAGTGGACAGCAATCCTCAAGCGAAAGCAGAAATCGTAAATGTGATCTAGCTACTGAAGTCCGGAAAGGCAGTAAGCGCAGACGGAATTCCTCCCGATACACTGAAAACGGACCCAGAGTCTGTAGCAGTTGTACTCACGCCATTATTGCAAAGCGATTAAAAGGAAGATGTACCTACCTGCCGGAATTAAGGTAACCTTTCGAAACTACCAAGGAAGGCCAAATTAGGCCTGTGCAAGAACCAGCTCTTATCCGCTCCAAGTAAAATAATAAGTCGCGTCATCCTGGAGAGAATAAAAGATACATTGAATGCAAGACTTCGATCTGAAGAAGCTGAATTCAAGAAGGGCAACTCATGTGAGGATCAAATTACGACAGTGTACAAGAATATGGGATAGAACACAGAATTCCAGTTAAACCTCTGCCTTGGCTTCATCGTTTTGGGAGAAGCCTTCGATAGCCTTGACCTCGAATGGATTCTGAAACTACTTCAACGCTTTAGAGTGCCCTAAATCTATTTCAACTTCATTAGGCAGCTATATTACAGTGGAGCGTGCCACGTGGTCCACAATGCAAAACTCTGTAAGGCGTCTCAAGTGAATACATTAGTAAGATAAGGCTGTCTACTATAACCGATGATACACCTAACTGGGATCAACTGGATTACACGTCAGACTGTGGGAAGCGAGAAGATATGAGGAAGACTCCATAAGATCTGGATTTCGCGCTTGATTTATGTCTGTTGTCACACAAACTTGAAGATCTACAGACGAAAACCAACAAGTTGACAGAAGTCACCAGCGAAGACAGGACTTCAAGTGAACACAGAGAAGACGGGGGTGATGAATAATAATAATAATAATAATAATGGTAAAGCTTTATTTAAGACGGTATGCTAGTATACGGTACAAAAATTTTCAGCATATTCAGTTCCAAAGTACTTTTTTCTTCACACAGGATTCACATGTAAAGTAATAATTTGGGAGAAAGTTAAATCACCGCGCAAGTTTATGTATAGGTCATTTGATATAACTGCAAGATTAAAACAACGATAAATCCAGATGAAATTAAGCATTTTGGAGGAAAGTAATTTTGGTAGCCCAATGATTTAAGCAGGCCGCCAGCCAACAACAACAACAGCAAGAAATAGTCACTATTAACAGGAGAAATTCGAGTAAGGTCAGTTCCTTCACTTATCTAACCAGGCAGCATCGTTTTAACCATGGACTACAGAACGAATGAGAATGTCAAAACCAGAATCGGAAAGGTAAAGTAGACAATTCACTGCTCTGAAATCATTTCGGGGATCTTCGGCACTCAGTCAGCATAAAAAAAATAATATTCGGATTTTCAACACCAATGTTAAGTCATTCAATCAGTTCTTCTATATTACTCAGAAACGTGACCTGGGCTTCACGAAAAGAACTTCCAACAGACCACTGCAGACTGTTATCAACAGCTGACTTCTCTGACTCCATAGTGAAGATCAGATTGCTAGCCAGCCAGAAATAACTGACCAGAAAAAACTTTGGCAACGCACGAACTACTCAAGAACCTATTGCTCAATAAATACTCCCAAGAAAATGAAGATGAGTAGGACAGATTCTGAGGAGATAGTTGAGTCACATTGCACTCCAGGTCACCATTCGAGTGGAACCAATGTGAAAACGATGATTCATGTATGATTCCGAGTGTGACATGAGGAAGGTTGTATGAAGAAGAGGCAATTGTGGGGCGAGCTAAAGAGGACTGCAGACAACAGGGTGGAAAGAAGATATTCTGTTGAAGCCCTATGGATCACTAAGAGCCCAAAGAAACAATAAAAGTCATAATAATTCAGACACCAATCAATTATCTATTCTACTAGGAATCTAGTAGTAAACTCTATTTTCATATATTGCTGATCTCATGCATTACATGCATATAGTTCTGCAGCCAATCATATAGTATATGAATATGGATGCTGAATTTCTAAGAAATGAAGTCACGTCGTGAAACTTATTGTAAACAATCCCATGCTCGATTTTTATTTTATCCTGCTCTGGAACTCCCTAGCTATGGTAAACGGTGAATTACTGGAACTGCATATAATGTGCCATAAGATTCCCACGCCTATGAGTAGACAGTAGTTTAATCGCTTAAAAATCCAGTTGTCCCAATATCTATACATCTGATCGGTGCTAATGCAAACTGATATAAGTTTGTAAACACTTTCACCTTAAAAAAAAGTTGATTCTACACGAGTTTATGATTAAGAAGTTGAGGTCAGTGGCAATATTTTCGTACTCATGAAGCCCGTAGCATTGAGGGGACTAAAATTGAAACTAAGCCTAATGCAAAATACCTCGGATTAGTTCTGTCTTCCGACCTTACTTGATCATCTCATATCCAAATGATTTATAAAAAGTGTTCCGTCTAACCTACTACATTAAGAAACTCAGACTATCTGAAATCAACCAACCTCTACTTTTATAATTTGTCAACTCTCGTATCTTACCTATTCTACTTTACAGCTCCCCCATTAGTCTTTCCTGGGCTACCGAAAAAGGACTATGCCATCCTGAGAAGGATGTTGAAGGTAATTAGTAGAGTAGGACTAGTGGTGTAAAACTCAGTCAGCTCGTCACTACATTAGTAGTAAGGTATCTGAATGGTCTAAAACCATATTTTCCAATCCCCAGCACTCCCTCTATTCCCAACTCTCTCCTTGTATCTCATCAGGTAGAACCAGAAATCAGTACAAAATAATATATGCCCGTACAACCAAGTATAGGAACTCAACAATACCATATTTGCCTCGTGATCTAAGTGACAGAGACAATGTTAAGCGCGAAACCTATGACTTGCTTTGTTGTTATTAATATAATTTTGGCTCTTTTATTTACCTCTTATTTGTATTCTATAGTGAACACCTTCTTAAACATACTTGGCTACCTAAATTATTATCATTGGCTTACCTTTCATTCTTTATTCTATTCCTTCTTTTGTGTATCTACTGGTTCCACATATATATTATCATTATGAGTATTACAAAATTGTCCTGTCATTAACCATCATGTAATATTAGTTTTGTGATTGTTTTTTGTTCGGCAATATTAATTGACAATCTTGGTTGTGAACGCCATTATCATCATCTTTAAATTTTGTATTATGCAGGATTACTCACACTACTACAACAAACACCACATTAGACCTGACAATAAAAACCCTGAAATGTCTATTTTATGAATGTTCAGTGTTGTTCAATCAAATTAACTGGTCATCTTGGCTATAAACATTCTTAATATCATTTCAAAACTTCTTGTATGATTACAGTTTTACTGTTCACCAAGCATGCACATATCATAGCTTCCACTACTCAATACTGAGATATTATTTGTTATTGTAGTTTATTTTCCATTCTACTTCTTGGTATTTTTTCGCATTTTTTTTGCTATTTTGTGTTTTTTGTTTTTGTTGTTGTTTTTATATATTTTTTTGAAATAATCCTTTTAAACATTCAATAAAATTAGATGCAATATTGTAGATAAATGCTGAAAATTCCACACTGTACCACTAGTACTGTTTTTGGAATAAAGCAAATTATTATTATTATTATTTTACTATGCATCTTCATTAAAAGTATTTCTAAATTTATGATACAACTGGTATTTTGTACACTTTTCATTTGATAGTTAAAAACCCTTCGACGACTACGTGTTGCAAACACACTATGGTCAGGATCAATGGCTGACAATTTTCGACCAGTTCAAGCTATTAATAATCGATCAGTTCGTACAAATATAAATTTTCATAGTCCGGTAAGAGTTCTGTTTATCCTCTTGGTTATCGTGTTTTTTACCTTAGCAATAAACAAACAAAACTATAAATGAATCAAAATTATTGAAAACAGGAAGACAGATTTTTTTTTCAAAAACGCTAGACATTTTATTCCAAAAAAATATTGATATTACTGCAGTTGTTTTATGTTTCTAAAATGATATTATCATACAGTCAGAAAATATTGAATACACACGAAGGAATGTTGAGAAATTTCTATGTACATGTCAAATAGCATGATATGAATTAAAACTCAATTGACATTAGATATAAAAAAGGAATGACTGGAGTACAAAAGTACCCTTATATAAGGATAAGTTAGCATCATGGATTCAGAAGTCAAAGACTTATAATGCGCTATTTGATTCATTGGTTTTATGCAATGTGTTTCCCTAATTACTCTCTATTTTCCCAGTTTATAAACTAAAGCTTGAAGTATTCTAAATATTTCATGCAGTCGGTTCCCTCTACTAGTTTGAACAAAGAAAGAATGAACATGTCTACAGGATAATATGAGCTCGTTTTATCTCGTGGATTCACCTCAACTGCTCATATCATAAACACTATCAAATTATAAGTTACAGAATTTCTGAACATACCTTTTGTCACAGTGATATCGAGTTACAGATAGAAAGCATAAGCAAAATAATTCCAAGAATGATATAAGTAGACAAAGTATTCAGTGTTAAAAAACTAAGTATTTGTAGTATACTTCACATGAACGGTGATCAAGATTTGACTGAATAGTTCCACGATAATCACGCGTCATTAATCTCTCACTACCTTGGTAACGATAATTGTTTTGTTCTTTTGAGTAATATTCCATTTAATTTTGACTTCGGATTCTCACTTACTGAGTTAAACTCACAGTTGCGTCCCCCAGTTTACTTAGTTGTTTGTCTATGTCAGAATTTTCCTGTATCACCCACTCCTACCCTCTCGGTCTCTTCATCCCCTAACTGACTTCAGCGACTCAGGGACTGACTTTTTACCAGGTTATGAATAATCTCGTTGACTAAGAATATGCAGATGATATAGTCCTCCCTCCTAGGTGAAGACGCTGACAAAATGCAGAGTCTTCTGAATACCTTGAGCTTCAATCTGAGAATGTTTGGCATGCGATTCACTCCTGCCAAATGTAAGATGATGCTACAGGACTGGATTACATTGACTCACTCCTAGCTTAGAAATAGGGAGTGAAATGGTAGCGCATGTTGATCACTTCACTTATCTGGGAAGTTGCATCATCCCAACGGATTGATCTCTGACGAAATCTCAGCACGAATACAGACGGCTCGGTTCGCATATGCTGGTTTACGCCGTCTCTGGCGTAGACGTGACATCTGACTGGATGTCGACCAAAGGATAGGTGTACTGCTGAGCAATCAACTCCGTCCTCATTTATGGCTGTCAGTAAAATATGGCCATTGACAATGGAACACATGAAAAGGCTAGCTAGCTGCCTGTGATCACAGTTGCCTGCGTTCTATCTCCCGTTTGAGGTGGTATAATAGGATGAGCAATAGTGAGGTTAGGCGTGGAGTACTAGTTAAGGAGGGGAAATCAATCGACGATGCTGTGGAGTTACATCGATTGAGATGGTTGGGACATGTGCTGCTCAGTGCCTTTCTCAACGGAGAATTTTAGCCGACATAAGATGGACCAGGTTGGAAAAGAGCCAGTGATGGTTAAACCAAAACATGGCTTCATCAGTCACTGAAATACTTAACAGTTGGTTTAAGTCACGTAAGAAGGCGTAAACTTCCTGGTTAGGGTCCTTAGGACGGTAAAAACTCATGGCTGGAGACAATTTGTGATATGGCTCAGAATCGTTCTCAATAGCTGCCACAGATGCATCCACTTCTTGTGACTTTTAATATCCAATAAAACTATATTGTTCTTCGATAATACTATTGATTTTGCCGCATATCTCTGTTTACTGTCTCTGTTTCGCATTTCTTCTCACTTTCTTCTCTTGTTTCGTGTGCTACATGTAGTGTGGCAACTGAAACTGGTAGACATATGTGCAAATTTCTACGTTGAAACTAGTCAGGTAGTCAGTCTCTTCATCATTCACCCTGTTGTTCGATCTTATATTTTGTCTCTAGTTAATCTGAACTCAACCTACCTCTTGTTTAACTATTCTGAAGGTGGTTAGTCTTTTAATACTTTGTCTACTTACATCATTCTTGGAATTATTTTGCTTATACTTTCTATCTGTGACTTGATATCACTGGGACAAAAGGTACGTTCAGAAATTTTGTAACTTATAAATTGATAGTGTTGATTGATCTTGCTTTCTTTTGCCGTTAGATCGTTTGGTCTCCACACAGAAGCCAGGACAATCACTTCATTCGAAATTATGCAGACCACTTACAAAATAAATTGCATAAACTATAATAAACACTACATTGATCAAAGTAGGTGTCCACTTCAACTCAGAATCCAAGAATATAAATATGCTGTGAAACAAAAACACGATATATATACTTTCATACTGCTTATTATTGTTCCGTTGGGTTCCTAGTGGAACACAAGGCTTCAACTGCACGTCTCCATTTGCTTCTGTCTCCTGCTGTGCTTTTCACCTGCATCCATGTTACTCAAGGCTGTTTCAACTCCTCTCTTTTCACACGATCTCCTCCATGTCACTCTTGCACTGACAACCCACACGCCGCTTCCCTTTCAACCTGGTTCTACTCGAGCGATGGCCTGACGCGCGCGATGTCACCCAGCGGTCTCCTCAGAGAGCGAGTGTCCAATCCATCCACCTCCACTTTCTCCTGCATATTTCTTGGTTGGCGATTGCTTCTTGTTCTGTTTGTTCCCATAGTTTCTTGTTGGTGATTCTTTCCAGTCCGGCCCGGCCATCTGATCTGATCTTCAGTATAGAGCCAGCGAAGACAGTTAGTTGTTGATAAAGGTCTAGTCTGCAACAGGCTGTTGGAAATATTCTTTGTGACCCACTCGCCAAGTTTCTCATCCGTATAGAAGAACTGACTTGACTTTTACATTGAAAATCCTACCGAATTTTGTTGTTGATGCTGGCTGAGTGACGACGATCTCCAGATTGGTTTCAGGTTGATGAATGTATTTCTCGCCTTCCCGATCCTCGCTCGATTTGACACCCTCGTCCGCTCCTCCTGTAGGTGAGACAATGCTCCCTAGCTAGATAAGTGAATGAAGTAACCTCTTCCAAATCTCTCCCGTAGATGTTTATGGTAATTGGCGCTGGATGTTGCTGTTGTTTTTGTCTGTTGGTTGTTTTCATAACCTCTGTCTTATCTGTGCTCACCTAGAGTCCTGTCTTCGCCAGCTGCTTCTTCGACCAGTTTGTCGCTTGGTTTTCGCTTGTAAGTCTTCGATTGTGTGTGTGTGACATCAAACATAAATCCTCCACGCGCGAAATCCAGGTCTTCTAGATTCTTCACGTCGGTCCAGTATATCGCTGTCTGCTCGTTTCCCACTGTCTGACGCATAATGCAGTCAGTCCACCACAATTAGGAATATCATTGGTGATGGATAATAAGCACCTTTGCCTGACTCCTGTGTTTACTCCAAACGCCTCGCTGTAACATAACATTACTGTATAACACTGGGAGCTTTTATCAAAACAAAATTTACCCATAATGGAATTACACTCTACCACAGTGCACAAGTTTTATTCTTATATCGCTGAATTTCCGTTGTGGATCACTTGACATGTGCCGTTGTCGTATAACTGTTGAATAAGCGTGATGAATGTTTGGGGTACACCACAGTACTCGGGTGGTTTCCAAATTACTTCGCGGTCAACGCTCTCTGTCGAAGGCCTTTTCAAAGTCTATAAAGTTGAGGTAGAGGTTTGATTGCCATTCCATGCTTTGTTCTGTGATGATGAAGCGTAGAGTTGCAATTTCGTCACAACATGACTGCCTTTCCTGAATCCAACTTGTTCTGGTTGGAGTTGTGTATCCAGTGCGTCTTTCATTCTCTCCAGGATGATGCGACTCAGGATTTTACTTGGCGTCGACAGGAGCATGATTCCTCGCCAGTTCTTGCAGAGTGACGCGTAAGTCGCCCTTCTTTGTTAGTTTCACGAGGTAATCTTTCCTCCAGTCAGTAGGCACCTTTCCCTCCTTCCAGACCTTTTGCAATACTGAAGTCAGCATATCTGCTGTCGTCTCTTGGTCCGCTTTCAGTGCTTCAAGGAGTATTCCATCTGATCCAGCTGCTTCTCCAGCTTTCAGAAAATAATAATAAAATAATTTTTCCTTCACGTTCCTCAGAGGAACATAGGGCTTCAAGCTAGTGGCTTGAAGTTTCTGTAGCAGTGTTTATTTTACAGGATGGAGTTGCTAGCCTCATGCCCAACCTTTTCTTTTTACCAGCATTATTTCTGGCTTAGCGAGGTAAAGGAATGCGTCGGCCGGTTATCGAACCCCGGACCATGTGCATGGTTGGCGAAAGTCCTAACCGCTATACCACCGACGCCCAAAAAACCTGGGAGTACTGGACATCTGTTTCATTCTAGTTTGGGACTCTTCAACAGTACGCACCCACCAGAATTCGAACCCAGGACCTTCCGGTTACAAGGCGAGCTCGTATACCCCTAAGCCACTGGGGCCAAAAGCGTTATCCACTTGACCACTTTCAGAAGCTTGATTGCATTCAAGACTCCAGCTCTCGTTGGAGGAATAGTCTCAACTGCTGTTGTGTACGTGCTGTTGTTGGTATTTCTGGACGGGTTGCAGGTGATGGTCGGTTCAAGAGTCCTTTGAAGTGGTCCGCCCATTGTTTAATCTGTTTTTCTTCCTTGGTAATTGGGTTCCCTTGGCTGTCTTTTATAGGTTTCACTTGTGTTGGTCTCTTCCCGGATAGAGATTGGGTTTTTTGATATAATGTCCTCAGGTCTCTTTTACCTGATGCCTTCTCAGCTTCAGTGGCGAGGTTGTCGTAGAATCGTCTTTTGTCCTTCCTAGCACTCTTCTTTACTTCTATG